TCACCCACACACACACCCTGGGGAGGTATTCCTCACTTTCCTTTCTCTCCCCCTGCTATCTCTCTCTAGCAAGCATGTATGCCCTGTAGCAAACTAAAAGACTCTGAGGAAGGACATTAAGGAGAAAGAGAGAGAGGCAAAGCATTTATGAGACAAAGAAATGGGTTATTATCTGTTGAAGGTAACTTTATAGTACTGTCAACTAGACTGGTAAGAAGTGTACACATGTTGGCATATTTACTTTGCAAGCTAAATAACATGATTGAACATATAGAAAATTGAAATAAAATAAAAAATAAATTTAAAAAAGAATCAACACTTTAAAAATAAAAAATAAAATTAATTTAAAAATAAATGAACGAATAAAGTTAGATAGACTAGTTCTTTAAAAATTATTTTGAAGAAATGTGTTATGTTCATTGGATTTCATTTTCTATCCATGACTATACATTTCGACAGGATAATAATAAAGAAACAACACACCTTACGAAAATACACGGATCAGTGGAATACAGGATAAAAACCGAAGAAGCAATCTGAAGCCACCTTAAAGAGAAATCAATTTTAAAATTCACACTGAGCATGAAAAGTTACCCATCATATATCCCCACTCAATAATCAATTTATACATGTAAAGACAGTAAAATAAAAAGCAAGGAAATAGCCTGGCCAAAAAAAAAAGAAAAAAGAAAAAGTAAATTAAAATGATAAATAGTATCCTTCACAGTTATCTTAGCAGATCAGCATCCTTCACCTAAGACGTGTCGCTTTTACATCTTTACAACTTGGAAGTCATGCTGTCATTGTGATGTGGCTCGGCTTATCAGAAGTACAAGTCAATTTTACGTTTCCTGTCAGCATTTCCTGGTACTTAATTTAAAATAAAGAAAATAAAAATGTCAAGAGCTGAACAGTAGCTCATTGGTAAAATGTGACAGACACTCTGCAAGGCCGACCTCCATGGGAAGGTTCTGGGTTTGTGCCCAGAGACCTCCCTGAATATTACCAGGCATCCATGTGCCCACGATCCTGGCCAAGCTGAGGTTAGGGGTAGACTGTAGCATCGAGACTCTGCTGGGAGTACTATCTCTCTGTCTCTCTCTCTCTCTGGCCCATGGAAGAAATAAATATACTTAAAAAGAAAAGAAAATTACAATGTTTACAGTAAGACAATGTAAAGCTTTTAAAGTAAAAAGCTTCCCATGTAAGAATTTTTTTTTCTTTCTCTATAGAGAAAAGAGAACAAGTTAATGAGGATTTGTCGATTTTTTTCTTTTAAAGATTTATTTATCATTATTATTATTATTATTATTATTATTATTATTATTATTTTAACCAGAGAGAGAGGGAAAGTGAGAAAGCAAGCTGCTGGAGAGGGGAAGTGAGAAAGCAAGCCTCCAAGCCTGAGAGTCGAACTGCAGTCGGCCATATGGGAGTCCAGCGTCCAACTACCATGGCACCTGCCATTTTGAATGCCCATTTTTCTCTGAGCCACCAAGGCAAATGACATAGTATAGATTCTAAAGAAAGATGCCACTGGCCTCATCAGAATGACTTTTCCCAATTCATCTCAATTTTTTTTCCCGAAGAGAGAATTCTAAGGCATCCATATCAGATTGTATTTATCTGTTTCTAATCAAGTGTTGTTTCCTGTAAAGTTATTAAAGGTTTTCGTAAGGCAATGAAGTTTAGAGAATTTCTAAATGACATGAACTCTTGGCAAATGGAGAAGAATGTATCGAAAGTGTAAGTGGCTGAACTAAGAGATGAGGTTTCCCAGGGTTTCTATCCAAATCTCATCTTCCAGACATGTCAACACTACAGTCATCCAGTTTTGTTTATGAAACATTTTAACACTTTTCTAGCTACACGGTGCAAAAGCAGCTACTCCACGAATTTAATTTTAAGGGAAGATGAGAAAGTGCTGTGCATCCTGGCAAGACAGAAAAGGGTTTACTTTGGAAACAGACAAAAATCACCGTCAGACTGAAAATGGTGAAAAGCAATCTGTTTTCCCCTGGAGTTGTTTCACTAGTGCTTTTGTCAAATTCCCAACTTTATAGTTATTCCTTTTATTAACATTGAGATGAAATACCCATATTAACCATTGATGTGTTTAGAAGAAAGGCATTTGGCTGAGAAGATTCCAGAATCAGGTCCCCTGTTTCTTGTTTCATTGAAAGAATCCTATTCTACTATTAGACGCAGTGCTTTGTAATGCAGAGAAAGATGACTAGGTTAACTAAGTCAGATGACTACTTATAAAGTTGACTGATGATTACAGATTTGTCGTGGTTTTTAAAATGGCTTTGACTTTCACGTTATACTTATTCATATTTCTTTGTCAGAGGAAGACAGTGGTGGAGGGGGAGGAAGGGACTGTTAGAATTGGGATCATACATTCCATAGCCTATTCCAGAGAGAGAACTTTTTCTTCTTTTAAGAAAGATTTTTGCTATAGGTCACGTGTGCTCACCAGAGAGACAGAAAGCGAGAAATCACCCTCCAGGGGTGATGGCCATGCCGCAATCCCTTCTCCTCCATTCTCCTCTTGGGATCTTGGGCACACACACACATGTGCCTGGCATGAGTTTAAGCCACTGGGTTCGGTACTCGAACCATAGCCACACAGGAGTTCAGTGATACAGCCATTATGCCATCTAGGGTTCAGGACTCGAACCACAGTCAACTACAAAAGAGTTCAGTGATGTAGCCATTATGCCATCCGCTGGTCCCAGAGAGAGAACTTGTGAGGATTTATTTTTTATGTTTATTTATTTCTCTCATGAGAGAGACAGTCTGAGAGATGGAGAAAGGGAGGCACCTCTAACAGATCTTCATCCTGAAAACCCACCCCCAGCCTCAGCCAACCAGGGTCCCGAAAGGCACACATGCATCCCTGTGTACAAGGAGACCTCAAGACACGAACCCAGGACCTTCCCATGTGGCATCAGCATTGCAGTGTGGCAGCACTGCACCACCACGGCTGGCCCACTTTTGTGCTGCTAACCATTATAAATTCAAACAAGACTGAAGGGACAGCACTGATTTAAACAGTTCCTTGAAATTTCCATTTATTTAAAGGAGTTGAGTTGTATTTAATTTGGGTCACTACCAGCTTGACACTACCAGAGTCAGTAGATTATGAAATGACCTTTTCAATGAGATCCCTCCATAGACTTTGATGACAGCTCCTTCCACAGTGACATACCTGAACAGGGGCCATCTGGATAACCCATGGCATCTCCATCTCCAGCATTACTATCCAAAGTGTGCATTCTAACATCAGCCCACAGCACTGCACAACAGAACTGCCCTTGTTTCTCTATATGTCACTCCTTTTTAAAGAAAGAAACACTCATTTTTTTGAGAGATTTTTGCTATAGGATACATGCACTCACTGGAGAGACAGAGAGACAGAGAGCAAAAAATCACCCTCCAGGAATGATGGCCATTCTGCAAAACCTTCTCCATTTTCCTCTTGGGATTTTGGGCATGCACACATACACATCCAGTGTTGAGTTTTAAGCCACTGGGTCCAGGACTTGAATTGCAGTCAGCCACATGGGAGTCCAGCACCTAAACCACACGCCTCCTGCTAGCCCCAGAAACACTAGATAATTCCGATGGTTTGTGATTACTTCTTCCCTGCCTCCAAAAATGTATTTTTTAACCCAGCTGAAACTTTAATTACGAGATTTACTTTTCAAAAAAGAAAAACAGTCAAACCTTATTTATCTGTATGTAATAAACACTATTTCATCCCCACCCCTCGTGGCCTTCAAGGTTTTGTGCCTGTACCTTGCAGCAACGGGTCAGCTTTCTGCTAAGAGTTTCTTTTCATGAACACTGTTATTTCGCTTGGTGAGTCCTCGAGGACAGTTGAAGTTGATCCAATGGCCGTTTGTTCAAAGGTTCTATTGAGAGTAGTTTATTTTGTTCTCGAGTATCTGTAAAGATAGGCTCCTTTATGAATTATGCCTTTTTAGTGACAGCACGGAAGATGACAGAGCCCCATCAGCCTTATCAGGAGAAGTTCTCTGACCTCATTATGGCTAATGGATCTGTGGTAATTCAGCCTGTTGTGAAATCTCATGTTCAATTATGCAGGATAATGAGTGACTCCAAACTTAATGTCTCAACTATTGTCCATATCATAGGGCTTGTTCAGCTTCTTTGAAAAGTGAAACAGGATTTTAAGTGGCGTGTGCACTTTTATGTCCGCATCGCCGGTATTCAGATTGCCCTGATTTCAAATATCTGATTTGAATTTTAAAATAAGAAAGGATTGTTATATAACTTTATAGTTCCCTGCGCCTTATGTAGAAAAGTTAGGGCAGGTTTATCCATTTTTTAAGTGTTAATTCTGGAATTCTAAAAGCATGCAAATGGCATTTGTCTTTGGATTCACAAAAACTCTAGATATTCAGAGTCTGAATTATTTAAACTCCCACAACACATGCACTTTTGCGTTTCAAGCATGAGTTATAATTTAATTAAAAACTTCTGGTGCATTGCTAGCATTTTAAATATTAATATGTTCCATGGATCACTTTCGATTATCTACCGTCTTGAAATTCTTGAAGATGTCAGATTTTTAAGATTCCCAAAGTTGCACTTGGAATTGTCTGTTGAGGCAAAGGGGACTCTGATAATTACACACATCCATTAGGATCAGCAGAGGAGAGAAACTTTGGGGAGGCTTAATGGGCATGTCTCAGTGACAGCTAGCAAAGAGCATTTGGCATGATTAAGGATGGATTTGAATGCAGTTGAAAATATACTCTCATTATGGACACCCAGTGGAAGTTGCACTACAAATGTTAAATTCCCCAGAAGAAGAGTGGTGTGGCAGGGAAGCTTTGAAATCCACTGTGGCCATCATCCAAATTATTCTCTCTCCTTTATGTCCTTTCTGCTGTCAGAATCACTTTGTGTTGCCCGATCCGACTCCCGACATCTTGGGGAAAAAAGGCAACCTATTGATCCATGTGTTTCAGATTGTCCGAAGATACATCAAGGATTGGCTTGAAAGAAAGAAACCTCCTTTTGGTGCTATCAGCAGCAGCGTCCTCCTCATGATCATCTACACGACGTTCTGCGACACGTTCTCCAACCCGAACATCGACCTGGATAAGTTCAGCCTTCTGCTCATCCTGTTCATAAGTGAGTCGGAAGGTGGCGTACCCTTGCTGGCCCTTGTCTCCTCAATGACAGTGTGTACCAAAGTCATGTCCGAGGTTCATCTGGTTGAAAAAGAATCCTTAGTGTCATCTTATATGTACCCAGGGCCTTGATCACGTGCATTTGTTCTTCACAAAGACAATGGTGCACTTAGGATTTCAATCTCATTTCTTTAAAGCTGTTTGCCATAGGGCTTGTGTGCTCACCAGAGAGAGAGAGACAGAAATGAGGCAGGGAAAATGAGAAATGACCCCCCACCAGGGGAAGATGGCCATGCCACAATCCCCTCTCCTCCATTTTTCTCCTGGGATTTTGGGCATGCATGAATATGCACCCAGCATGATTTTCAAGCCACTGGGTCCAGGACTAGAACAGCAGTTGGCTATGTGGGAGTTCATCCCCTTAACCACCATGCCACCTCCTGGCTCCACCTCCTTTGTTTTTTAGAGAGATACTTTTGCTGTAGGGTGCATGTGTTCACCAGAGAGGCAGAGAAACAGAAAGCAAGTAATCACCCCCCAGGAGGGATGGCCACACCGCCATCCCTTCTTCATTCTCCTCTTGGGATTTTGGGCATGTACACACACACAGCCAATATGAGTTTCAAGCCACGGAGTCCAGGACTTGAACTGTGATTGACCATGTGTAACCATTACCCCATTTGCTGGTCCCTTTCTTTCTTTTCTTTTTTTTTTTTTTTAATGTCTGATGCACCATTATTTGATTTACATAGTTGATATCAGATGAGAAAAGCCTTAATAGCTGCAAAACTCAAATGTTAAATTAGCACCTTATCGCCATTTTGGCTTATTATCATTCTACATTGATCTTACCCTTTATTGTGCTTAAAAGCAGGACTTATGACACGTACTTTTATTTTTAAAATTAATAATTGACTGCATTGGTTAACATGTGAATATTTACATGCTTTTTTAAGGAAAATATACCCAAAGTAATATCATTTCATTTTAAAAAACAACAGACTAAAAATGCAGGTAACTCAGCTAAGGCTTAGAAATCAACATTTTGTTCTACTTATCCTATAATATCAAAGACAACTTTTATTAATATTGTAATATCAAAGAATCTTTTGTTAGTAAAATCAAAATGAGTTATTCCAAAGAATGTATTAATATTATATGGAACCACATTTGTGCTGTTTGCTATAAATACTCATCATATAAACCAGTTGTTGTTTTTTTTTCAAAACTGAACAAATTAAAGAACCCAATCTTAAATCATCAAAGAGGGGTTTAGGGTTTCCCTGAGCAGTAGATACCATAGATCTTGTCTGGGGATACCATCAGTGAGCCCAGGCTAAGTCCTGCTAATTTAGATGCTGGTCAGATGAATTAATTTCTTCTTCTATATGAGTTCCTATACATTTCAGTTAAAGCTAAGCATACCAGTGAATAGGTTATACATACTGCTTTTAGAGTGCTAACTTAGATTCTTTTTTTCCCCCTTAGTATTTTCTATTCAGCTGAGCTTTATGCTTTTAACCTTCATTTTTTCAACAAGGTAAGTGATTTGTTTTTGTTTATTTGTTTGTTTATTTTTAAAGATTGTTTGCCATAGGACATGTGCTCTCATCAGAGAGATAGAGGGAAAGTGAGAAATTGCCCCTCCAGGAGGGGATGGCCACACTGCCATCCCCTTTCTTCCATTATCTCATGATGTGGGGCATGCACACACACGCACCTGGCATGTTTGTCAGGCCACTGGGTTCAGGACTGGAACTTCCAAGTCGGCCATGTGGGATCCAGCACCTTAACCACCATGCCACCAGCTAGCCCTTTGCTGTTTTTTTAATAAGGAATCATGCTCCTCCTTCCATGGCTTCTATGCCACTCTGCTGTTCTAGTTTTTCTCCCTTCTCCTTGACCATTCTGTCCCACCTCTGCCACCATCACCTTGCAGCTATTACTGAAGGACCTGTCCTTGGTTCCTATCTCATTCATCCATATCATGTGCTTACGCAATGTTCTACGCTCTACTGGCTTGAGCTGCCAGCCTCCTAATGATGTCTAGACCTTGCATCCCCATGTTTTTACTGAGTTCCAGTGCATTTTTCACTTAACCGTTTCGCTATCTTCACCTAGCTATCTTAACAAGACATTAGACTCAAGACACTCAAAATGGAATTCATCTTTCCCCAAGAATACCCTCTCCCTCCCCTCTTCCTTCACTTTTTTTTTATGGACCCATGATCCTCAGAGCTACAGAGACTAGACTCCATCCCATCATTGCTGATGTACGCTCTTGAGCCTACCTCTGTGATATTTTTTGTGTTCTCAAAGCCACTTTCCTAATCTAGGTTCTGTTGTGTCTTTTCTCCCAAGTAATAAATATCTTACTGGTATCTCTAGTTCTAGACCCATCTTTTTCTTATGCATTTCATACTGCTTCCAATTACTTAAAGTTCTAATAATAGCTCTCTTGTTCAGAGATCTTCAGTGGTTATTTAGTGCTACAGAGTGAAATTCGTTTTGAGGGGCCACATGCATGGCCCTCTGGTCTGTTTTCCTATCTCATAAACCACCACTAGCATCCATGCTGTCTAAGCTTTAGGTAGAGGTAAACTCTTTGCTGTTTCCTGGATGAACTTCATGCTCTCATATTTCTGTCCCTTGTTTAAGCTATCCCCATATCCCAAATTGATTTCCATGTCCTAGATTTTTATGATCATTATCATTGTTGATTTGGTTTTTGTCATAGGGTACATGTGTTTGCCTGAGAGGGACAGAGAGAGAGGAAGTGAGAAATCACCCTCCCAGGGGGGATGGCCATGCTGCAATCCCTTCTCCTCCACTCTCCTCTCAGGATTCTGGGCATGCACACATGTACACCCAGCATGAGCAAGTCCAGTGACGTAACCATTACACCATTTGCTGGTCCCTTTCTTTCTTTTCTTTTTTTTTTTTTTTAATGTCTGATGCACCATTATTTGATTTACATAGTTGATATCAGATGAGAAAAGCCTTAATAGCTGCAAAACTCAAATGTTAAATTAGCACCTTATCGCCATTTTGGCTTATTATCATTCTACATTGATCTTACCCTTTATTGTGCTTAAAAGCAGGACTTATGACACGTACTTTTATTTTTAAAATTAATAATTGACTGCATTGGTTAACATGTGAATATTTACATGCTTTTTTAAGGAAAATATACCCAAAGTAATATCATTTCATTTTAAAAAACAACAGACTAAAAATGCAGGTAACTCAGCTAAGGCTTAGAAATCAACATTTTGTTCTACTTATCCTATAATATCAAAGACAACTTTTATTAATATTGTAATATCAAAGAATCTTTTGTTAGTAAAATCAAAATGAGTTATTCCAAAGAATGTATTAATATTATATGGAACCACATTTGTGCTGTTTGCTATAAATACTCATCATATAAACCAGTTGTTGTTTTTTTTTCAAAACTGAACAAATTAAAGAACCCAATCTTAAATCATCAAAGAGGGGTTTAGGGTTTCCCTGAGCAGTAGATACCATAGATCTTGTCTGGGGATACCATCAGTGAGCCCAGGCTAAGTCCTGCTAATTTAGATGCTGGTCAGATGAATTAATTTCTTCTTCTATATGAGTTCCTATACATTTCAGTTAAAGCTAAGCATACCAGTGAATAGGTTATACATACTGCTTTTAGAGTGCTAACTTAGATTCTTTTTTTCCCCCTTAGTATTTTCTATTCAGCTGAGCTTTATGCTTTTAACCTTCATTTTTTCAACAAGGTAAGTGATTTGTTTTTGTTTATTTGTTTGTTTATTTTTAAAGATTGTTTGCCATAGGACATGTGCTCTCATCAGAGAGATAGAGGGAAAGTGAGAAATTGCCCCTCCAGGAGGGGATGGCCACACTGCCATCCCCTTTCTTCCATTATCTCATGATGTGGGGCATGCACACACACGCACCTGGCATGTTTGTCAGGCCACTGGGTTCAGGACTGGAACTTCCAAGTCGGCCATGTGGGATCCAGCACCTTAACCACCATGCCACCAGCTAGCCCTTTGCTGTTTTTTTAATAAGGAATCATGCTCCTCCTTCCATGGCTTCTATGCCACTCTGCTGTTCTAGTTTTTCTCCCTTCTCCTTGACCATTCTGTCCCACCTCTGCCACCATCACCTTGCAGCTATTACTGAAGGACCTGTCCTTGGTTCCTATCTCATTCATCCATATCATGTGCTTACGCAATGTTCTACGCTCTACTGGCTTGAGCTGCCAGCCTCCTAATGATGTCTAGACCTTGCATCCCCATGTTTTTACTGAGTTCCAGTGCATTTTTCACTTAACCGTTTCGCTATCTTCACCTAGCTATCTTAACAAGACATTAGACTCAAGACACTCAAAATGGAATTCATCTTTCCCCAAGAATACCCTCTCCCTCCCCTCTTCCTTCACTTTTTTTTTATGGACCCATGATCCTCAGAGCTACAGAGACTAGACTCCATCCCATCATTGCTGATGTACGCTCTTGAGCCTACCTCTGTGATATTTTTTGTGTTCTCAAAGCCACTTTCCTAATCTAGGTTCTGTTGTGTCTTTTCTCCCAAGTAATAAATATCTTACTGGTATCTCTAGTTCTAGACCCATCTTTTTCTTATGCATTTCATACTGCTTCCAATTACTTAAAGTTCTAATAATAGCTCTCTTGTTCAGAGATCTTCAGTGGTTATTTAGTGCTACAGAGTGAAATTCGTTTTGAGGGGCCACATGCATGGCCCTCTGGTCTGTTTTCCTATCTCATAAACCACCACTAGCATCCATGCTGTCTAAGCTTTAGGTAGAGGTAAACTCTTTGCTGTTTCCTGGATGAACTTCATGCTCTCATATTTCTGTCCCTTGTTTAAGCTATCCCCATATCCCAAATTGATTTCCATGTCCTAGATTTTTATGATCATTATCATTGTTGATTTGGTTTTTGTCATAGGGTACATGTGTTTGCCTGAGAGGGACAGAGAGAGAGGAAGTGAGAAATCACCCTCCCAGGGGGGATGGCCATGCTGCAATCCCTTCTCCTCCACTCTCCTCTCAGGATTCTGGGCATGCACACATGTACACCCAGCATGAGTTTCGAGTCACTGAGTTGGGACTCGAACCGCAGTCAACCCTATAGGAGTTCAGCACCTTCACCACTATGCCGCCTGCTGGCTCCATCATTTTCTTGTTTCTAAAGGCTCACCTCAACTGTAACCTCTTCCACCAGCATTGTACATTCAAAAGATATTTCGTGAGCCATTGGCATGAGAACAGTACCACAGTGAATCCCGCAAATAAGAGACGATCCTGATCCTGCATGAGTTTATAGACTTGATACGTGCAGTGAAAATGAAGTGTCCTCCAAGTGGGTACCTGTAGTCAATTCAAAGAGGGAAAAGGCTCTTCCACAGAATGTAGAGAAGAACAAGACTTCAAGGAGGAGATGGAGTTTAATGGAGTTACAAAGGTGGCTAACTTTTTAGCGGAGATGTAAACGAGGGGGGATTATTGGTGGCAGAAGAAGCAATAATGCAGATGTGGACACAGAAAACAATACAGACATGGTGGGACAATAGGAGTCGAGACAGATTTAAAATAATGATAGTAATTGGAAAGGTTGACTTGAGCCAAACTGCAAGGCCCTGAACACCAAGTGACAGCAATGAGTTAACCACAGAGGAGAGGGCCGTGGCTGTTCACAGGACTTCAGAGAACGCCAGAGAAGAGGGTGGTTCAGGCCTCACATTAGGCACTTGGCTCTTGCAGCGCTTGGTGAAGCACTAGGCTGATTGTAAACAGTCAATAAAAACTTATTGATTGATGTAATTTGAAGCCTTTCCCAAGCTTGAGGTTGTGATTTATGAAGTAAGAATAAAGCCTGGAGCCATTAAGTCACAGAGAAAATGTGACTTAATTGGGTAAGTCCGAGAATAGGAGCTATTTTAAAGTTCTTTTTGTAAATACCTTTTTATAGTACTTCAGCGATAGCCTTTCAGTGGCTGTTTGTCTGCTAATCCTTGCACCAGAAGTAGTCCTATCTGACCAGCTACCCCATCCTGACTAGGTAAGATGCAGATACCCTATTAGTACTGAAAAATTCCTTGAAAGATAAGAACACAGGGAGCTAGCAGATGGTGTATAGGGTCAGAAGGCTGGATCTCACTTAACCAAGTCAGAGGTTCAAGTCCTGGACCTAGCCCTAAAATATCACTCTTAGTGTATGTGCATTCATGCCCAGAGTCCCAAGAGGAGAATGGAGGAGAAGGGATGGCAGTGTGGCCATTCCTCCTAGGGGGAGGGGGTGATTTCTCGCTTTTCCTCTCTCTTTCTTTCTTTCTCTTTCTGGCAAGTACATACACCCTATAGCAAACTAAAAAAAAAAGATGAGAGTACAGAACAGCCACTACTGGGATTGCTGTAGGAGATGGGGAGGAGGGAATTGTAGGGAAGGGAAAGGGGGGATATTACAACTAATTGTTAAAACTAAGAATTTCAACGTGGATTAGACTGGACTTTCCTAATGCCTT